ATGTTTGGCAGCGCGAACTTCACTAACATTCTGATTGGCAGCTTTGCCGTGCGAGCTTTCCAGTGCGCTGTGGTCTGGCAGTGCGGCTGGAAATTGGGCTTGCCGGCTGGGCTGTTGCAGTTCGTAGTCGCTCCTCTGTCGCTGACAGGCTCATCACCGTGAGCGCGTGCGGGAGCGCGTGCAGGTGGAGGAGGAGGAGGAGGAGAATGTTGGCAACTGGATGCGACTAGCCTGACTTGCCCGCACGGCCAACGCATGGAAACGAGTGAGGGGGGAGGATGGGGGACGAAGGATGAAGATGTGGGAGGATGAACACAGGCTCACTCATACGACTCTGCACCAACATCTCGGATTGTGTTTTTCACTACCTGCTCAATCTGATCGCGGTGCTCCTGGTCAGCGCGGTTCCGGCACTCCCCTCGACGAGCCTCAATTTCGGAATGCCATTCGTCGTGCTGTTTTTCGCCATCGATTTTTTGCTGAACCTGTTCGTCTATTGGCGCACCTCCGAGGCCTTTGGCCCACGGCGGCTCTGCATGCACATCCTGTACGGGACCTTCAACACGAAGACGTACTTCGTCGTAGTCCTGGGCTGCTTGCACCGCGAGGACGCCCGACAGACAGACCACTCTCCCGCGTCGTCTTCCCTCGCTCCGCCTCGCTGGCTCGTCGTCTGCACTCCTTCCTCTTCTGTACCCCTCCCCGTCATCCCCTTCTTCCGTCGCTTTTTCTTCCTCCCCATCTCGTGAAAGTCCGCGGTGTGGGCTAGCGGGGGGGGGGGCGAGGGGGCCAGGTTGGGGCGAGCAGCGCACGAGATGGAGGTTGGATAGTCGTCCTGCTCGGCAGGAGGAGCAAAGAGAGGAGGAACAGCAGTTGCAGGGAGAGGGGAGAAGGAGGAGGAGGAGGAGGAGGAGGAAGAGGAGGAGGCGGAGGAGGAGGAGGAGGAGGAGGAGGAGGAGGAGGTGGAGGAGGTGGAGGAGGAGGAGGAGGAGGAGGAGGAGGAGGAGGAGGAGGAGGAGGAGGAGGAGGAGGGGAAGGAGGAGGGGGAGGGTGAGGGGGAGGGGGAGGGGGAGAGGGAGGGGACGGGGGAGGGGGAGGAGGAGGAGGAGGAGGAGGAGGAGGAGGAGGAGGAGGAGGAGGAGGAGGAGGAGGAGGAGGAGAAAGAGGAGGAGGACTTGCAGCCTGGCGGAGGAATTCAACATTGCCGTCGTGCTGCTCACGGGCCTGCTGTCTTATGTCGCGCAGGAGTGGAGTTTGGGCAAGCGGCTGCTTGACGCGATTCGCTGGCCCTGCTTCCCGGTCTGCTTCTATCGTACAGACTGGCGCCGTTCCGACAAGGGGCGGGGCGGGGAGGCGGCGGTGCCCCCCCTCCCTTCCCCCTCCTCCCCTCCTCAAGCGGAGTCCAGATATCCTGGGACTGGGGAAGGAGGGGAACATCAGATTGCATGTCCTGGGAGGCGGAGTGTGCCACCTGTCGTCCCATTCAGTCTGGTTTGGTCGTGTGCAGTAGCGGCGCAGTTCTGTTCAACCCAGTTGTGTGGCTGAGCGCATCGCAGTATAGCCCAATCTGGCTTGATAGCGCTGAAAAGCTCTGCCTTTATTGCTTGTCAATGCGGAGTGATAGCATCCAGCCGTGCCCACATAGGTATTCCCTCAGTTGCTACCGGAATAACGGCTAAACATATCGCACGCTTTGTCGCACACGTGCTTACCCATTTTTCTTCCGATGTATACAAGCATATATCTATGGATCGAATGTTTATCCTCATCTCCTCATCAGCCTCCCCCTCCCTCCTTTTTCCCTCCATCCTCCCTGGCTGGCGGGGTTCGGCGGATGTCGAGCATAGGGTGGGACACATGCCCATCGTCTATCAACACGCCCACAAGATGCACCACTACTTGCACGACTCCACGCCTTTCGACGCCCACATCTACGGCAGCGGCATGAACGAGGAGTTCTTCTGGATCCTCGCGGAGACGCTGCCGTGCCTCCTGGCTCCAGGGGTGTTCTTCCCCTACTTCCTCAACCCAGTGACGCTCTGGATCTCCTGGACCAACAAGGGCGCCCACGCCCGCACTGCGGAGGGCGTGACCGTCGATACGGCGGGGTGCTTTGATGAGGATCTGCGGGCGCTAGGCATGCACCCACACCGATCCTGGCAGAGCCGATCCTTGGCCTGCAGTGGAAACCCATGCCAAGAAACACCCAGAGTCCAGAGCCGCGTCGTCGATGCGTCGGCGATACGGCGAAGTCCTCCGACCACATCTGCTCGGACCCCCTCAAACGTTTCCTAAGCCTTCCGCGTGGGCACAGAAAACTGCCTCCAGGAGGCCCTGCGCTTTGTGGCTTTCGATGGTTTTGCAAATGGAGAGCGTGACGTCCCCACACCAAAAACCAATGGACGTCCTTGGGTCTCAGGGTTGGGTTCCTTGGCCTGTGTTCGAGCTCCTACGGCATGGCTGGTGCACACCCCCATCCCAGCCAGGCAACCCCATAGGCCATTCTCCGACTCCTGGGCCCAGGACGGGCCTGGCTGGCAGCGGTGCTGCCGCTTGGCCAGACACGAGTTTTTAACGCAACATTGTCCCGTTCTGGTTGATACGGTTTTGGCGGGAGTTCGTATCGTTAGGTCCGTCTGTTCTCTCCTCCCCCTTCACTCCTCGTGCCTGCTTCGTCTCACAAGTTCAGCTGCAACGCGGGTGGTTTCACAACGCGTGCTGCTGAGGGAGTTGTTCATGTCATGTTGCTGGGTGCTGATCACCCCCCTCCCAAAATTGCTGCTTGGCCAGCGTAGTCATCGTTAGGAAGAACAGAGACCACCGCCTCCGGGAGCCCATCAGGGAGGGACCCACCCCTGGGCGGTGGCATGCCTGAGCTTCGTCCGGCACTGGGTGGTGCTCCTTGGCGGTGGTTGTTGTTTTTTTCGCATTCTGCGAGTAGGGGATCGACTATTTACCCCAACATTGATTTTCAGGTTATTCTACGAAAGATGCGAGTCTGGTTCCGTAGATCTAATAGTAACTAACTTATTTCTTGTATTTCCGAAGTGACATTTATTTTGAGGGTAAATGAATTCTGTATTCGATCCCCTATTCGAATTCTTACAAGGACAACTTCCACGCGGACCACCACACGCTGCACCGCACCAACTTCGGAAGCTCCACGGGCGTGCTGCTGGACTTCTACTTTGGCACCGCGGGCCCAACGACCAAGGGCTCCGCCAGCAGCTCGGAAGACCGCAGCCTGCCGACCAGGGCTCGGCCTGGCCGTCGGCCTGGCCGATCCGCCGATCGATCGGGCTCGAACTTCGTCCGTCGGCGCGAACGACATCGGTACGGGAAGAGCTGGGGCAAAGACCGACAGCAGCTCCTGTCTGTTTCGAACAGGGCTCGTTATCGGTGTCGCCGCCGATGTTGGCCATTCGAGGCAAAATTTTGCCTGCCCAACAGTGGCCGCTGTTGGTTTGGGGCAACGTTTGCTGTTGGGCATCGTGCCCCTCTTCTCGTCCCAATTTCGGGTGCATCAAATTCCTGAGTGCTGGCTGGGCGTTAAAGCGGGCAAGCCAGGTCAGGAATGAGATCGGTCAGCGGCCATCGGCATGGATCGTGGTGTGTCCTTCTCTGCCTCCACCAAGGTGCTCCTCCGTGTGTCGTGAAGGGTCCTTTGACTTACTCCTCCTCATCCGCCCTGACATCTCCCCCCCACCTCCTCGTCCTACACCTTGGCCTCCTTCTCCTGCTTATCCTCTTCTCTCCTCTCCCTCCTCCTCCTCCTCCTCCTTCTCCTCCTCCTCCTCCTCCTCCTCCTCCTCCCCCTCTCCTACTCAGCCTCCGCACTCGAATGGGAGCACGTGTGCGCCCCCGCCGCCACTCTGGCATACAGTGTGCGCGCCACTGCTCTGCTTGTTTTTGCCGCCATGTCTCTCACCTTTCACCACTGCCATCCGCAATTCTACTTGGCAGCGGAGCTGGGAGCCATCCCAGCACGCGATCCACGGACGTGCGCATAGTGCGATGCCGACGCACATTCGCACGTTCTCATTCTGCTCAGTGGAACCACCCTCCATCTCTCCGAACAAAAGCCTGTGCTGATGGTTAGTCTCCTGAAGGAAGGCAAATTCTCGGGTAATCCGCCTTGGACGCCGACAGGCCACGATGAGGCCAACGCCGGACGAGGGACCGTGTGAGACGTGTGAGAATCCAGCTGCGCGGGCAAAACAGCTGCAGTTTACTACGCGATGGTGAGCACGCGTCCACGGGAACGCCACGACGTCCCCCACGACCCATCGCACCCCGCAGGTGCTGGCCGTAGCTTCGCTTCGGGCATGACGGTGCATTTCTTACCTGGTCCAATGCCGTGCCTCATGATGTGTGCGACTGTGCTGGCTGTCCTCTATGCGAGCACGTCGTACCAGTCGGCTGGAACATTACACGTCAATGCACCATGTTCACCACTTCTTGCTTCGACCAAGGATGTCAGCACTACTACCACCTGCTTCAACATGATGTTCGTCCTTGCGCAGGCCCGGGCCCAAAGGCGCTTCCGCAGCTCTTACCGTGGTGAGTTTCTTTTTGAGGAGGGTATCCATCTTGGCGCTAGGGGGCCGCAAGCTACTTCTCACCAGCCTGATGTCGCCGATGCGTGTTCTTGTCCCGATTGCGACGCAGCCAGTCAGGCACGCATCTGGCGATCGCTGCAGACAGCACGCCGGCTTCGGCACGACCGTCGCTCACTTGGGTAGTCCGTTTCATCCGCCCCTTCGGCAGTTCCGAGCTGCCGTAGTTCGTATTCTTTTGGTTTTTCCTCGAGGCGGAACTCGACGGCGACCCCACAACCATCTACGCCGGCCCGGTTTTAGGATAAGGCGTTCAGGCATGCCAGTGGCACGTACTGATGTCGTGCCGCGTATTGCTTGGAAACGTTGTCATAAGCTGTCCCACAGGGACCAGGGAAGTGCCGTAGACACGCGCATGGCGATGTAGGTGACGGCGACGTAGGCGTCGGTATTGTAGGTGGTGGTGGCTCGTGGCCAACCCAGTTTTGGGAAATCGTTGTCCGTATTTTCCTACAGCTCGCCGAGCTGTGTCCGCTCGATGCATTCACGCTTTCGACACGTAGGAAAGTGTGGTTCGTGATTCCCTACAAATTGTTCTGCGCGAGTTCTGCTTCGCAGAACTCAGATCCCCAACGTTGCCGTGAACTAAAATCGCCGTTCGCATGGCCTTGGAAGTGATCCCGCTTGCGTGTTTTACTCCACGTGCTGCTTTTGCCGCGACCATTTGTCAGCTTCACCACAGGCATGCCGCCCGCTCGCATAATCAATAAGGTCGCAATGTTGAGCACGACTGGCAGGCAATCGGCGCAGAGCTGTGCCACTCACTTGACAACAAGACCTGTTGTCCCACGCTCTGGTGCCTGCTGTGGTCCTGGCGCTCGGACGCACGATGCGCAGAACGTGTGTGTGTGTGTGTGTGTGTGTGTGTGTGTGTGTGTATTTGTGTGGATCTTCAGGCACGCTGACACGTTTGTTTTGCCTATGGCCGCAAGATCAAGTTTACGCCTCTCGCTGTGCCGCTCGGCTTAGGCACGCGGCCACACGGCAATCGATGTACCCTCTGCCACAGCAGCTTTGGACAGAGATTTGTGCATGGTTGGTCCTGTCCCTTCAGTGACACCTGTCCTATCATTCAGGATTCGCTGGTGGCGGGGCACGTTTTCGCAGTGTTAGTGCGCAGCGGTGCCGGCTTTGGGGTGGGTGCCACCTTTGTTCATTCATGTGCTGTTCAGCGCGCGTGGGGGGCATCGTTTATGACCAGTGATGTAGTCGCGCAAGCACGGTTGGCTATGCCTTGGCGCCCCCATGCGCCGTGCTACGCACGCCAGAGTATTGTTTGTTCCTGGCGGTGCCAGCACACGAGCCGTGCTATGCCCGCGCGCACCTACGCGCCTCGCAGCGCACGATGGACATCGGTCTGCTCAGCTGTGCGCCGGAGCGTGCGCAAAGGCAGAGGCATGCCACGCCTGTGCCCAACTGTGCGCTGTGCTATGCACGTCGGTTCGCTGGCGTTTCAGGGTTTGCGCCTTGACGCACGCAGGCCACCGTGCCAAGCACATCTAAGCATGGCCAAGTTTGTCCCCGAGCACCTCTCGGAGTGCCTGCTGTCACCGGTGCTGGGTTCTCCCAACCGCATTCAGGCTGCAATCGGCGATGTCGCGCGGGATGCAGCTCGCAGAGAGACCTTCTGCGGGGGCCGCGTCAGCTGGCATGCGATTTCAGCGCATGCGCTGGTTTGCCGCGCTGAATGCCTTTCTCTGCGTCCCTACCTTCATGCCGGCGCTCATCCACATCGCCGCCTCAGTGAAAAGTAACGGTTGAGGCGCGCGCCAGCCGATGCGGGCAGTGCTACCTCACCGCTTCTCAGCTGTGCATCCACCACCTGGCGCGATTGACCTTTAGCATGCATCCTTCTGCGGGTTTAGCACCTGGTTCGCCCGGCACGTCGTCGCTTGTTGGGCCGCCGTCTGGCGGGCGAGTGCATCCGTTGAGGTCTCGCCGGCCAGCCAGCTCGACGGTTTGATGCCCCCTCACCTGGGGCGTGCCTCGTTGTTTCGCGCCTCAAGCCTCGCGGTTTGATTGCGGCCAGCACCTGCAGTTGAGTCCGCGCCCGACGATCCAGGGGATCGACCTCCACGGGGCTCTCCGCCTCCATTCCCACCTACCGCCAGGTCCACGCAGAGCCGAGCCCACTGCGTTCGAATTGTGGATGCGCGCGCAGTGGCTTGCAACTGAAGGATATGTTTTAAATGTTCGCCGACATGTCCAGGCCCACTGAAACTCGCATGGAGGTGTTCGTATCATGAACCCTCTGCCGCGGCTGACGCGGCTCGTTTGTGTGCCTCTCTGACAACCTCGCTCTCGATGTGCAGCTTCGTCTCAATCTTGATTTGCGCGTTCCACTCATTTGTCGTTGCTTCTTTTTCGCAGCGCGCAGCGCGCCGTGTTCTGACGGGCCTTCTCTCTCACCCGCTTTCCACGGTTTCGCGAGCGCGGCCCCCCTGCTGCGTCCCGGGTCAGTGGGCAGGCGCGCAAAGTGAGGCACTGCGCCGCGCCGCGGCATCCCGCGACAGGGCTGGCGCGAATGTATGCGCGCGGCGCTGTGTGGGCAGGGCGCGCGCGCGCCGGCGCTTTCGCGCCCGCGGCTGTGCGCGGCAGATCACGCGGGTGCCCGTCCAATGGCCCGCCTCTCGCCTCGCCCCCTCTTCCGCCGCGCCACGTGCTACAGAGAGCCAGATTTCGCTGGATTTGCTCGAGGGCGTAGAGGGCGCAGAAAGTCAGAGGCCGCAGGGGGCGCAGCCAAATTCGAGGGCGAGGGGGATGGCGCAGGGAAGAAGGTTCGGAGAACAGCCAGGAAGAGGCGGGCGAAAGGAGGGGGATGCGCGAAGGCAACTACAGCGCGACGGGTGCGCGAGACAGTGTCACCATGCGGTCCCGAGGTCCATTCAATTCTGCCTCTGCTCAGCGATCTACCGCCTCGCCCGCCGCGCTGCGGCACTCTACGCCGTCAACAGCCTCGCCCACCGCGCTGCGACCACAGCTCGGGCTGCGCCAGCCTTGCCAGCCTGTCTCCCGCGCCCACGCGCAACGGCGAGGAGGGCGGCGATGCGCTCGTCCGCGTCGTCGCCCTGGGCGCGTCGCCGCCAGCATGGCCGCCCAGCGGGGCCGCTTTGGAGCGCGCGTCTGGCAAGTCGCGCCGGCGCGCGGCAGCCGCGAATCACCGCGCCGAGAGCGCGCGCGCTGTGGCGCAGTCAGCGGCGCGTTGCGCCGCGTGCTGCGCGACCGACGGTGGCCGCCATCTTTGGCGGCGCCGCAACTGGCGCGCCGCGGGTGTAGCGCGCGCGTCGCCGTCTCGTGGCCTTTTCAATCTTGCGGATGCAGGTGGGCTGGGGCCCGTCTGCTGTGCGCTCGCGCATGTGCTGGCGCCGCGGCCTGTCCTCGCTGGGAGTATTGCCGCGAATCCTTCCATCCCTCCTTCTTCCCCGTCGGGCAGGGGGCGAGAGGGCCGAATCAAGGCGAGTTCAGGGCGCGGGTGACCGCGCGCATCGTCGACGCGAAGATGCGCGCGCCGCCGCTTCTGGCTGGCTCCCGGAAAGAAGAGAATTCGTCAGATCCTTGTCCGAGCCTGCACAGAGGAAGAGCTCTCGCTCCCGCGCCGTCGAGT